CCTTTAACTTTTGACTTGAATGATGTAGTTGTTCTCACTTGTAGATCATTTATTTGCGCTTGGTCATTCACGAATAAAAGCAGAAATATCTTTCTTTTAGCGGGTGGGAAATTGAAAAACATGGTTCCGCACATTTAAACGCAATCATATAAGGTGGGACCATCTTACATCACCGTGTAACAGGCCGAGGAAGTTATTATCCATAAAAATAGGCCGCTTACCTGAGCAATTGTGTTCTTATGGATTCCTCAAATCCATAAACTATCACAAGGATGATTGAATTTTTAATAGATCCTTTTGAGTGTTTGAAACGCCTTCCAAGAACTTTCAGCAAGTTTTCCATTATGGCTTTCACCTTGAACAAAGCCTGAGACGTCGATGCTTTGGTAGGGATATCAACTGGCGAGGCTGACCTGTAACTTGGACTGTTTTCATCCGCCCAAGTCGTTAGCCTATGAAAGGTCTGTGAATAATTATCTTGTTAGGCGAATTATCTGGGGATGTTATCAATATCTTCAGGTATATGGTTTGTATTGTTTTGAGGTATTCGTCTGGGTTTCCGCTTCTTCCCAACTGGCTGAAAAGTTAACCGCAGGAATACATCTCCATGAAAAGCCGGACGAGTTTTGTAGAAAAAAAAGTTTTGACTCTTCGTGAATCTTTTATGTGTGTTTTTTACATGTCCGAACAAGCAATTCCACGACACAGATTCTAACGGACGATTAAAAGGAGGTTTAAGGAGGTTTTAAGAAATATTTGAAGACGGTCATTTTGAAGGAATTCACGGTTTTTTTTTTTAAAGTACAGCTACCATCATCATTGAAACCCCTCCTGCAATTAGAAATTTACTTCGAAAGAACGTTTTAATTTTCATTTTGATGAAGGTGATCGAATGAAAAGAACTTAAAAGTTACTGAGAAACCTTAGAAAAAGGGAGAAAACAGAAGAAAAACAAAGTCTAGACCTTTTAGATTGAAAGCCATATCATGTATCTTTTGGCATTAAACGGGTCAACAAAGGCAGCACGTATTCAACAGAGGGAGCTTTTTTGATACTTTAAGGGTATTGATCCGAATAAAACATGACTGCAGATGATGTGTTGTTTTAGAGTTGGTACCTCTTTAGTCTTAGGGGTGAATAACATTTCAAGCCACGCCCACAACACCGGATCTCGGTACCTTGTAGGGTTTCTTTCCAGAATTTCCGACGAGCATCCCCCTTTTTTTGTATGAGAGTTCCCCGGGGATTTTTTTATGCCTGTGCGATCTATGAATGCAGCATTTGAACTGTAATGCATCATTTTTGTAGGCATACATAATAATGATATTGCCTATGATCTGCCGAGTTCTGGCGCTGATGAGAAGGGAAGGGTTCTAATCGCTGGCGTTTTCAAGTACTGAAAAAGCGAATTAAGCAAGTTTAAAGGATAATTAATTGTGCGACAAAAGAATCACCCCTTCATCGCCGGCCTGTTTTCTTTGCTTGCTAACTTTACTTGACAGAACACGGTTGAAGAAATTTGCAGATATAAGGTGGCGAGGAAGGTTCCAAAGAAATCATTAGGCTCTACATGAGTCTTACTTCCTTTTATTTTACTAGAGAAAATAAATTTCTTTAAAAATGTAGTATTTACTGAAATGATTTAATAATTTTAAGAAACGTCTTTACACCTTATTACGCAGTAAAGAAAGCTAAATCTTAAAGCACAATTTTTGAGAAAAATAGCAAACGTAGTAATTTTTAAATACATCTGTTTAAATTTTCTTCAAATTACATAGAACATTAAATATCTCTAAATATGACTACTTAAAGTTTACAGAAATCTGCATGACATGGATCAATCACTGATCCAGCAGTTTTATAAACTATAGCAAATTATCATGCTTACATACAAAACAAATTGCAGAAAATAATCTTATTTACATATTGAAAACAAGGCAAAAAAACTCAGCTGACGACACAATCTTTGCACTCAAGTCGCATAGTGGGTCTGTCTGTGCCAGATGTTATTCACAAATCACAAAAACGTTGATCACGTAGTATGGGCAAAAAAGTAATTAAATAATTGATATTGTGAGTATGATAATAAAGGAGTTCACTCGATGGCAATTAATATCAAGAAGAAAAAAATCCTTGGGTGTCGTACAGTTGCACTGGAATAGTCGTATAACACAATAACTATATGCTAGGTATTTAACAGTCATTTGCAGTGCAGAATTCAGTCCTATTTCCTATAACATGTTTACAACTTCAAGGATGGTACTTTTTGCAAATGGACACTCACTGTCACATTGCACACTGTGTAGCACTTAAGTGGAACATGCATCTGGTACATCAAGACTTAAATTAATAGAAAATTTAACTCAGTCATCAGTGTAAGTTCTTTCCCTTGTATTATCAAAAGTCAAAAGTTATGAAATTTGTAGTTATTTACAACTAAAAAAACGTACAACACACTACAAATCTTAAACTTTCTACACAAATAATCTGCTCATGTTATGAAAATACAAGTAACTATATCACTTCACTTAAGTATTTCACTAATAATTTTTTTCAGCTTTTTTCATGATCACATATCTTTGGGCAAACATACTGTCTAGGGAAAACAATTCTATACAAAATGAAAAATACATCTAAGTTCCTTTTTTGACCTGTATTTTGCCTTTAATAAGTTAGCAAACACTACTTCATGCAGTTACCAAGAAGATAATATCCTGTATGTTACAGAAGCTGGCAAATTCAAAATTTGCAGTTAAAACAAGCATGGTGCAAGTGCCACATAATAAACTATTAACAGTACTAACCCAGCTTGCTTAAGCTGCATTGGGCAATATTGGCTTTTGATCGTTTTTGTACAGACTGAGCACACAGCCTCAGGTCAATATTCCTCAGTACAGCCCTTTTGCTTGGTTAGTAAGAGGTTATATCTGAACTGTTTTACTTAGGTGAGCAAAACATGTTTNTTTTCTATTTGTACGAACGGAGAACAAGCAATTGCCTCGGTATCTACTTCTTAAAGACGAGAAAAGGTTCCAGAAGTATTAGAAGATGGTCCGTCCATTTTTTCAGCAGTTCTTGGGGCGCTAAAGCAGGAGGACATGTGCATCGTCTATAAAGAAGTGTTGAGTTTCCGGAGCGCACAGTCAGTACGGACAGACAAACTGTGTCTCTTCCCTTGAGCAAATGAAAACAGTGAAATATTTCATTGTGGCTCACAACGGTTGCGAACATTTTATCTGCACTTCTTTTTCAATGAATCAAAACTACCACTAGCAAAAAAATTTTTGACAAAAACAATGTCGGAAAATAAAACCGTCCGAAATTTTTAAGCGTCCGAAATATTTACAGTACAGTATAAAACTTTGAAGGTTTAGTTTTATGCCAGACTTTATCGAGCGAACTCTATCTGAGACTGCTTAAGATACGTAACGGCTTGATAGAATTTGTGTCAATTTCTCGTCGGTGAGTTTGTAAAACCTTGAGATTGCAGTAAAACTAACATCTTCTGATGTTGTTTCAGTCTAATTCATGTTTTTTGGGCGTAACTTTACTGCAGCTAAGTTTAATAAAATTTGTGCGAAATTGTTGTTCGAAATTTGTCCGAAATGAGATAAAAAGTGTCCAGAAATTAAACGTTTAAAATTTTAATGTCCGAAATTTTTTGCCAGCTATGTATCATGGATGCCTACCTAACAGCTTGAAGTGCTCACTACTCAAAACCGACTCTACGGACCCTCAAGATGATTTTTTTTAAACTATTAAATTGTAACTATTGTAACTTTTTGCAAAGTTGGCTCTGTATCCACCCTTACAATTTTCTTTAAGCTTCGCCAAAAGCTGCATCATAGCTTACTGATTGCAATTTGATGATAATAAATGGACGTCACCGAATTTATGTTTGAGTTATTAGTAGTTAAAGCTAAAATCAAGGGCGCTTTTAGAAAGTTATATGGTTGCCATGCTAACTCGTTATGTCAAGAAAATAACCATAACTCTGTTCATCAATGTTAAAGTACGGCGTGATGTCATTATTTGAGTACCATCTAGAAGAGAATGGTAGCATTGATCCATCAAAGTAGAAGTGCTGAAAAAATGCTGAACACTGTTGCCAGCTACAATAAGGATCTTTGACCCTCAAGAGTTGGGTCTGAAATAGGAAAGGGAAAGTCGCAAATTGTGGTCTGAAATAGAGTAAGTTTCTAGAGTTTAAGCTCGCCGCGTGCACCCCCCAAGAGCCTCGGTGTTTTTACAGGCTAGAATAAGGCTTAGAATAAGGCATCGCTGATTGAAGAAAAACAGGGGAATAGAGCAGATTAAGGTAAGGACTTATAAGTTGTGTAAGAGACTACCTCAATGACATTAAAACCACAGTGTAGTTATACTGTCTGTAAATACATTGGAGCTTGCAGCTTTTCAGTTGATGCAGATTGCGGAGGAGACCTTGACAGTTTTTTTTTTTTGTGAGAGATTTGCAATCAAACCGTAGCTCAAATCATCACAGATTATTTCTTGGAAACGTTTTCCCCGTGTAGCTGCTTCCAAATCAAACCTACATCCAAAGAGACTCCCTGTCGTGCTGAATACTGATGAGGGGTATATAAATATTGCCATTTGGGAGCGAGCCGACCCTGGTGAATGTTGATGATTTACAGTTTGCCATACAAAGTTCTGTGAGGCCAGGTTGGGGGATGGGCGAGGCTTATAAGTGAAACATACATAGCCTTTTTTTTAGCCTAAAGATTGTCCACTACCTGCCAGGTTATGGGGAGATGGTGTATAGGTGATATAGGAGATGGTTCTAATATGGCTCGCTTTTTACAGCATTGCAAGAGAAAATAAACAATGAGGAATCAAACCTTCATTGTTTCTTTTTTTGTATTACTATGATTATGAAAATATGCAGAAAAGACGGGAAGCTAAGCATAATTTTACAGCCCCTCCTTGCCTAATCATTACTCATATACTGAAATGACTTCATATTGTAACAAACTTGTCACACCTTTTCATTTGCTCCGTACACCTGTTTATTAATTAAGTAGTAAGCATTTTTGACAAAAATAGTCAACAACTCTATTTTAAAATACATATTTTCAAATCTACTTTAAAATACATAGAAAGTTAAATATCTCATGACTAAGCAAAGTTTTCATGAACCTGTATAATTTACATGAGAGAAACTGCATCTACACAAAATATAGCCAGACCTTATAGTCAAAAGGACTGATCTTATTCCATACCATGCAGAAATGTATCTTACCTATTTACTGAAAACAAGGCAATAAAACCCATTGACAACAGCTCTAATGGCCCAGATATAGTACAAACTTTAATACGTGTTCACTTATTACTCATACGTTGATCACTGATTATATTACCGATCAGCAGAATAATTTATTGATTAATCTGCTGGGAGAATTTGCGAGACCATGACTGCACTAGTTATGTCACAGTAAATTGCAGTGTGATGTTTCATACAGAATTATATTATATTTCCTATAACATATATGTTTGCAATATTCAAATGCAAAATTTTCAGAGGTGGCACTTCTTGCAAATGGCTACTCATTGCCACATTGCACACTGGAAGATACATATGGCCTGTTAAATCAGTAAAACAGAAAGAAAATGTAACCCATAGTTGTCAGTGTAAGTTCTTTGCTTTGCACTTATAAAAACCTGCAACAAACTAGTTTTGATTCAAAATCCTAAACTTTAAGCAATAATAATAATCATCATCATCATCAAAATTTACATTGTGTAAAAACACGTGAATATTTACTCAAATTATAAAAATAGAAGTGAAATTACTTCAGCTGAATATTTCATAACTTGACAGGGGTTTTGTAAATTTGTATCAAGACTTTATACTATTTAAAAGGCAAAAAATGTAAAGAGAGTAAGTGAATATATAAAAAAATACATTCAACTTTTTTGTCCTGTTTTTTTGTTGTTCTTGTTGTTGTTTTTTCAAAAATTAAGCTAAATTATACACACTTTTTGTACTTTGACATGCAGTTACCTGGAAAATAATATCCTGCACATGTATATTACATATATCTACAATAAGTTACAGTGTAATACTTTTACACTAGTTAACTGTTTTGCTGCTTAACTGGAATTGACATTTTTGTCAGAAGACCAAACTTATTCATAGAACAATGAAACCAAACAAAAAATAGTTTAGTAGTAATCAAACCTTGCAAACAAGGTAATTTACTTATAACTTTAAACCAAAAGAAACCTGACATCACAATTGTTCAAATATATTTCAAATAAAATTAATCAAAATGACACAATACCATCTGGCAGCTTGTTGATGAGAGAAGCATGCTTAAAGAGTGTAGTCCCTGACTGTTCTAATGTGAGGAACACCAAACAACTTGTCAATGAAATAATAATCATACATTTACATATATAGAGCGAACACAAGTATAAAAGCCTGATGGATTAAGTATCTTAGGAATAAATTAAGAACTTAGACCCCGATAATAGAAGAACCCATTCAGCCTTAAATCTGAAAATAGGTTCTTTAATTAACTCTGTAAGATATATTCAATTAGTAAGTTAATTCACAAAGTAGGCATTCAGTAAGAGTACAATGTATGGCAGCACTGTACTGTGTTGTAGTAATTATTAATTATAATCTGGGGCTTTGTTCAGTTTTGCACCAGTTGCAAACTTTTTAAGAGAGTGAAAGGTTAAACTAATGACTGTAACTTATTATATTTAGGCCCAGCCTTCCACAATTTCCGGTAGCTGACAATTAATTGTTTTTTTGTTGCTTTTTTTTTTGAAAAGGGAGTTTTTTAATTGAAACAAACATATATTTACAACACTACCTAACATCACTTACAATAATAACATCATTTACAAAACTAATATCACCTACAATATTGCTAGTAACATAACTTACAATAGCAACATTGCTTACAAAATTGATGGTGAATTGTCATTTTGTTTGCTCCATTCATACAGAACCCAGTCATCAATTACTGTTACCACATCATTCCTTCCCATTTCTTCAAGGATTTCTTTAAAACGTCTAATGGATGGATCCTCTTGAGCATCAAATTTCTGTAGAATGAACTCAGTCTTGTTATTTTGCTGTCCAAGCCACAATATATCATCTCTGTCCAGGCCAATCTTTTCAGCAAGTGAGCGGTAATCATCGCAAAGCAATTCACGAAGTGTGTCAAGCTTCATACAAATCTTATGCCTAAATTTGATCAGGATGGCAGACGTTCTTTTGCTCAAGTGCCAGTTCAAGAAATATTGTGGAATGTCAGAAATGCTGGTTGTACTGGATTGGTGAAGCTCTGTTGTTGAAGTGCACTGGTCTGTGACAGTGACCTCTGTGTCAGATCGCTTTTCCAATCCTGTCACAAAGAAAACAGCTGTGTTAAAAAAACTCTCCACTATAAAAGATAACCAGCGATGACCAAACAGCTGCTGATGCTTTCTAGAAACATATTTTGTATTGCAAACCATAGACTATAATTGCATGAGGTTGAGCAAAATATTGTGATTTGTCAGTGGCAAGCAGATCACTCAGTAATACGGCTTAAGCAAACAATTGATCTGCGAGACACTGCCAAACATGATGTTTTGTGACAACTGAGTTCAATATTGTTTTATTCTTCAATCACCAAGTTTGTTTTTGTATTTAAATCACTCTCTGACAGCTCAGGGAAATGATCTGCCATATTTCACCCGAGAGCGTGGTTTCAGTCATGCATGAACAGAGTATTATTTGCAGCATAACAAATTTAGGCAGTACTACACATGAGCAGACAATTATTTGTAGGCAGTTATTTGCAGGTCGCTCACATGATGGGTTCTCAGCAAATGGAAAGGAAGAAAAAATGCATTGAATGATATTATCATTTATTTTGATTGATGTTTAGAATTAATGACAATAATTTTCTGCCCTATCAGGATCAATTTCAATTGTCATTGTGAATCTGTTCTTGTTCAAACATGGGCTCAATTCCTCCCCTCCTAGAGGGGAGAAAGCCAAACTAAATTTCTACTGAGGATGCTACTGTCAATCAAATGTTTGGCGGCTCCTCCCAGCTTCCGACTACTGCTGAGCGCACGGTAATCACCTCGTTGAGCACAGTTCAGATAAGGAAACAGTGCTCCGCAGTAGTTGGAAGGTGGGAGGAGCTTCCAAATATTTGATTGACAGTAGTGAAAAACGCATTTCTCGGTTGAATGTTGAATTTTAGAGTCTGCATGCTATTGAAAGGTGCAGTAATGTATAACCTCTAATGTGTCTGATGGAAACTTGAAATAAATAAATTCAGAACATGTGTACTAAAGAAACCTGTGGTCAAGTATCAATCAATACTCTTGATTGATTCTTTGTTCACCTTCAAGGGATGATGGAATCCCTTTTTGAGCTTCTATTACTGCTGTGTGTTCACGATGATAATTTGCTATGACTCTACCATCCTGTTGGGCTGAGTCTGCAGTTCGATCAGACATGTCTTCTGTGCCACTCAATGAAGATGATAAATCAGGTACACTACCTCTGTTACTAGAGGTCTCACATGAATTACTCTCTTCATTATTTCTTTGTTTGTCTTCTTCAATAGCACCTCGATTTAACACCAAAAATGTAACTGTGGGGTTATTCGATTGACGAGTCCTGGAGTTCTTTAGTCTGTGGTATAGCAAATATACACAAATCAAAAGACACACGCACACAGTAGACAGCACTGTGATAATAATGTCAGTTTTCTTGCTCTTGTGAGTGTGATCACCATTCATTTTGTTTACATATACATTCCCATTGATCGCTTGCACTTGCACCGTGGCTTTTGAAGTGGGTGTCTTCTCATTCTTCTGATGATTAAATATGCTTGTTGACATAGCACTGATATGTTGTGTTCTTGTAGAAACCAGAACCCTTGTGATGGTCAAATCAGCAGGCAAAGACATGGGAGTAGCATAATGTGAATAAGAT